TGTGCTCCCATTCCACATGGGGACAGAATGCACCTCATAGAACTTCTGGAATCCTCAGAGTTCTTCTGCATTTGTACATCAGCATGAGAGTTTTCAGCATCAACTGGCAGGTTAATGCTCTCATCAGATTAATGTAATTTCACCCACAAGCAGGGATCAGGGAAAATGTGCACTGTGCCAAATAACTTTATTGAGCAACATGCTGGTTCCGTAAATTGGGACCATCTGAGTCAAGCAAACTAGTCAGTTTAGAGCATCATTCATTAGACCTAGGAGAGATTTTCTTCTTGACCTCAAATTTGGACTGTCCAGACCAACCCAGTTGACACAATAACCATTAGTATCCTTCCCAGGTCTCATTTAAAAAGTCACTCCCAATGACAATATACTATTAATGAAGCAAGAAATTAAGAAATGTGTTCAGCTGCCTTTGAATCATATCATATCATAGAGGGGGCTTTCTTCTCTAGGTTCCATCCTGGTATATGAGACCAGCTATGATTGGTAGTGACTCTTGTGTCCCCCACAAATGGCAAAGGGATGCAGATAGGTTGCCTATCAGTTTATATAGCGATTCAGATTATAGAGATCTGAAGGGTGATGTACACATTATGTATTGGCCATGGTTGTTGCTAAACAGTAGCTCCTTCTTTGAACCAAAATATGCAATAAAGACTTTGGGGGAAATGAACTTTGTTTTCTGCACTAGTCTCTTCTCCCACTCCCAAGGCTAGATCCTGCCAAATCCCAGACCTGCCTGCTATTAGGAGATCACAGAGCCCAGCTGCCTGCCCCTGATTGGTTGGAGACATTGTAACAGATTCTGGCTATAAAACAGATGTGTAGATCCTCACTGCTCCTATCAGTAGGGTTGTCAACCTCCAGGTAGTGGATGGAGAGCTCCTGCTGTTACAACTGATCTCCAGGCAACAGAGATCAGTTCACCTATAGAAAATTGCCACTGTGGAAAGTGGACTCTATGACATTATACCACATTGAAGTCCCTCCCCTCCCTTCCCCAAACCCCGCTCTCCTCAAGCTCCACCCCAAAAATCTCCAGGTATATCGCAATCCGGAGCTGGCAACCCTACCTATCAGGCTGGTAAAAAAGGAAATTGAAAGGGACAGTCAAGAGAGTCATATCTAGGAGTATGCAAAAATAATAATAATCTGGTATATTGAACTTGAAAAATATCGCTATATCCTGATATTCCTGAATCCCAATACCAGTATGGCATTTGAATTTAGGAATTGGGTTTGCTGAATTTTTTCGGCTCCATTATACCCTATGAGGATCATTATAGTTAATGGTCCCCATAGGCTATAATGGAGAATTGATCCGGGGGTATCTGGGGCTCGGGGGGGGGGTGCTGCTTTTTGAGGTGGAGGCACCAAATTTGCAGCGTAGCTGCTGATGCCTCTCCTTAAAACCCCCAAATTTCAAGAAGATTGGAAGTGGACCAAATTCTATGGGCCCCAGAAGAAGGTACCCCCATCCTCCATTGTTTCCAATAGAGAGAAAAAGTCATTTGAAGGGATCACGGTCCCTTTAAATGCCTTCTCCAAGCCACGTGACTCCATGGCGAGTGAACTCTGAAGGCATTTAAAGGGATCATGGTCTATTTAAATGCCTTCTCCAAGCCGTGCAACTCCATGGTGAGTGAACTCTGAATGCATTTAAAGGGCTTGCTGTCCTTTTAAATGCCTTTTCCAAGCTGAGACTGAGAGTTCACTCCAAAGATATTTGAAGGGAATACAGTCCCTTTAAATGCCTTCTCCAAGCTGAGAGTTCACTCTGAATGCATTTAAAAGGACTGAGAGCCCTTTAAATGCAGCTATCAGGTGGTCCCAAAAAATCCCGAATGTTTTTGGGATTTTTCAGGGTGCCCATTTTCAGATAATCAACTCAGTACCCCACTCAGTTAGCAGCTGAAAAAAATACCGATAAGGTATTTTGGGGCATTTTTTCAGCTCAGTTTATACTGAGCGCACACATATCTCTCAAAAAGACTTGGGGTTACTCAGTACACAGTACTGGAGGTTTAGTTAGAAGGTATACTGTAGGTCAGGAAAGGTAGTACAAAGTTCAGGAGTTCACCAGCAGGGCTAATGTGCTGGGTAAGGGAAGCTATTAGAAGGGAAAGGCTTTCTTCAGAAATGGGAAGATTTATCCAAACAAGGCAAACAAAAATTAGCACAAACTTGCACAAAGAAAATGGTAGTGGATGATTAGGAGTGCAAAAGATGTTGAGTAACATATCACTAAAAGCACAAAGACCAACAATAAAGAATTCTTTAAATACATCAGGAACAGGAAACTGGCTATGGAAGCAGTTGGACCACTGGATGACAATGGAATTAAAGGAGTACTAAAGCAGGACAAGGTGATTGCTGAGTGTCAGGTTCTATAATCAGATCACACCACACAGCGCTTTGTAAGCAGTATTCTGTTTATCGGGATCTGGGAAATTACAGGCCAGTTAGCTTAACAGCTGTTCCGGGTAAATTGATGGAAATCATTAAAGATAAAATTGTCAAGTGTATAGAAGGGCAGGCTGAATAAAAATCAACCTGGCTTCTGCAAAATTAAGTCATGTCCCACAAACCTTTTAGAGTTCTTTTGTCATGTCCCACAAACCTTTTAGAGTTCTATGGAACTGTCAATAGACATGTGGACAGGAAAGAGCCCATTGACATTGTTTATTTGTATTTCCAAAAGACCATCATCAAAGGTTTCTGAGCAAACTTTAGAGTCATGGGATAAGAAGACAAGTACTATTGTAGACTGGAAATTAGCTAAAGAAAACAGGAAGCAGAGAGCAGGAATAAATAGTTGTTGCAATGGAGAAATGTGAGCAGTGGAGTCCCTTAGAGATATGTATTAGGACTGGGGCTTTTCTGGGGGAGTAGTGAGGTGACCAAGTTTGTGGATGATTTGTTATTATTATTAAAACTGGACAGCAAAGAGCTCCAAAAGGAGCTCTCCAGACTGGAGGAATGGGCATTAAAAGAGCAAATGAGATTCATTGTGAGCAAGTATAAAGTGATGTATACTAGGGCAAATAATCCCAACTTCATATATACACTAATGGGATCTGAGCTGGCAGTGACAGATCAAGAAACGTATCTTGGGGTGTTAGTGGATAGCTCGATGAAACTGTCAACCCCGTGTGCGGCTGCTGTGAAAAAGGCATATTCCATACTGGACCATACTTGGAATAGGAACAGAGAATCAAACTGCCTTATACAAATCTATGGTGAGACTACACTTGGACTATTGTGTACAATTCTGGTCACTGTGCCTGAAACAATGACATTGCAGACCTTGAAAAGGTGAAGCAAAGAGCAACAAAAATGATCAGGGTGATAGAGCAGCTGCCCGATGAGGATCAGTTAAAACTCTTAGAGCTGTTTAGTTTAGAGGGGAAAGTGAATAACGGGAGACATGGTAGACGTCTGTAACATTTCTCATGGTGTGGAAATAGTGGACACTTCCATGATACTAGAACCCAGGGTCACTCACTGAAGCCGAAGGGTAGGAGATTCAGGATGGACATAAGGAAGTAGTTCTTCACACAGTGCATAGTTAAATTGTGGAACTTGCTGGCACAGTACGTGGTGATGGCCACCAACTTGGAAGGCTTTAAAACGGCAGTGGACAATTTCTTGGAAGACAAGACTGTCAGTGGCTACTAGTCATGATGGATATCTTGGCAGGGAGGGCAGGATACAAATCGAATCAAATAAATAAATAAATAATAAATACTCCTTCCAGTACCAGAGGCAGTATGCCTCTTTGTATCAGTTACTGGGGAGCACAGGTGGGAGGGCTTCCTAGAGGCAGCTGGTTTATCACTTTGTGAACAGAATGCTGGACTTGATAGGCATTTGGTTAGATCCAGCATGGCTCTTCACGTATTCTTAACAGTGTTCAGGTTGTCTACGACCTACATCAAGTGGTGGTGGAAAGGAGTGTCGAGTTGCAGCCATCCTATGAAAACCCTGTATGGTTCTTAAATGATACTTCTTTAATTATACTGCCTGGCATAAGGTCACTGGCACAGGAAAGGGGTTGTTTGTTTTTTCATGACAACTATGGGCGGGCAGTAATAACATGTAAATCAGCCCTGACAAAACATATGCCAAACTCTCTTCCAGAAGCCATGACAAATCTTGTTAAATTTGGTAAGCATTTTGTGGTAGAGGTGGGTGAGCCAGAGCCAGTGATCTGTCTGGGTGCAACTGAAAGCATTTTATTTTAACAGTTGTGTAAAAGAAAGAATTTAGACAGCTCCAATTTGTCATATCATAATATGAGAAGAAACACACACCCAGAAAAATTTTCATTGCAAAAGGCTTCTGGAACACCCAACCTGTATCTTTTAGTGAACTGGGTGTTTTTTAATTCATGGTTTTAAAACTTTTTTTACCATTCATAAGTCATTGTGGATAAAGCCAAGTTAAGAATTATTGGGGAGGGGAATGGCTACAGTTAGGTGAAAAGATTATGCTCAAAAGTAAGTGGTACAGTTGTGGTGTTCAACCATTCCTTCCCCAACTTTATTCTTTTACAAATTTTAAAGGAACCCTTTGTCTGACAAGCAGCATTTTGAGGTTTAACCAGAACATTTAACCTGTTTGGGAATGTTAAGCTGGTTACGCACCGCTAATGTAACTCAAGGTGGTCACTTGCTGAGGATTAAAGATTTAGAACAATCACCATGCCTGTGACAAGGCTGATGGACAAAGAGCCATTGTGATGTGAGGAGAACAATCTCTGTTTATTGCCCGCTGGGCTGACAGGCTGAAAGCCCCATTCTGCATGCCAGCACAAAAAGCTTTGTTGCTTGTAGATTGTTTGTTTATGCAAATGGAAGTGGTGCATTTTATTATGCAATGGAAAGGGGTCTAAATGACCAGAAAGGTGCTGATTGGGTAGCCTCTTGGAGTGGGAACCGGTGGCAGATCCAAGGCAAATCCTGACTTTGTTCTCTGTTGGGCTCTGCAAACACTTTGAGGAGAAGGGAATCTTGTTCTATGTTCAAGAGCAGTTTTTTAAAGAAAGAAGCAGTGACAAATGGTCAGTCGGGACTGATTTTGGCAGTGGTTATAGGACTGTTACTGGGACATACGTTTCCACAAGCAACTGGTTGGATACTACAGGAATCATGACAGAAGACGTTCAAGTTCGACCAGGCGTACCAGAGTATAATCGGAATATGCCCTCCGAGAAACCACAACTCCAGGTCATTGATATCATCGATCAAATGGCAAATTCTGTTGAGATATTTCCATATGAAAATGAAGAGTTTAATCCTGACTCTCTGCTTCTGCAAGCAGAGCAAGAAGGGGCTGATCACTTAGTAGAAAACACAGCCTGTGGTGTTTCAAGTGGGGAGAAAGACTATCAAGGTAAAGTGCAATTTTTTACATTTTGTTTTCCCAGTTGGTTTGGGAATAAAACCAGACTTTTACTGCTTCAGAAAATATTGTGATTGGGGTTTCTTTCAGGTTTCTGCTTTTATTTATGTCTGTAATATTATAAATTCATTGAAGTAATTCAAGGTTACTGACATCTCAAATGTTTTTCAAGCAAATATAAATGAAAAGGATGCTGTTATGCACCTAAACATGATCTCGGCAGACGTAAGCACCTATTTTATGTTTGTGTTTGTACAGTTTTTCTCTGTTGAAACTGAAGGTTTCACAGTGCTTCACTTTGGTTGGAATTTGAAATTCTATTGATTTTAATCAGATCTGCTCTATGCTTTTAATGTGCCCCCCCCACTATCCTAAAACCATGTACCTGAAAGTCAGTCTGTTGATTGCAGCGAAATGTATTTCCATTGTCTGCAGCTCAAGAGCCAAATCTGACCTATAAAACAGTTCCAGGCAGAGCAGTTTAAATTATGCTTTGTGATCTAAGAGGTTAGTAGTTGCAACTGTAATTCGGAAGAAGCAAGCAAGAGGGAAAGCAGGATAAAGAAGTGGATTTTTTCCAGGAAATAAGAGACTTGGGGGAAAGGATCTGCAAAAGGTGAACATAAGAACATAAGAACATAAGAGATGCCAATGTTGGATCAGGCCAAAGGCCCATCCAGTCCAACACTCTGTATCCCACAGTGGCCAGAAATACCAGCGCCATCAGGAGGTCCACCAGTGGGGCCAGGACATTAGAAGCCCTCCCACTGTTGACCCCCCCCAAGCACCAAGATGACAGAGCATCACTTGCCCCAGAGTCCCTATCTATACCTTGTGGCTAATAGCCACTGATGGACCTCTGCTCCATATGCTTATCTAATTCCCTTTTGAAGCCGTCCATGCTTGTAGCTGCCACCACTTCCTGTGGCAGTGAATTCCAAGTGTTAATCACTCTTTGGGTGAAGAAGTACTTCCTTTTATCCGTTCTAACCCGACCGCTCAGCAATTTCATGGAGTGCCCACGGGTTCTTGTATTGTGAGAAAGGGAGAAAAGTACCTCTTTCTCTACCTGCTCTTTCCCATGCATAATCTTATAAACCTCAATCATGTCACCCCTCAGTCGTCGTTTCTCCAAGCTAAAGAGCCCTAAGCGCCTTAACCGTTCCTCATAGGGAAAGTGTTCCAACCCTTTTATCATTCGAGTTGCTCTTTTCTGCACTTTTTCCAAAGCTATAATATCCTTTTTAAGGTGTGGTGACCAGAATTGCACACAGTATTCCAGATGAGGTCGCACCATTGATTTATATAGCGGCATTATGATATTGGCTGATCTGTTTACAATACCCTTCCTAATAATCCCCAGCATAGCATTGGCCTTCTTTATTGCAGTCACACACTGTCTCGACATTTTCAGTGAGTTATCTACTACAACTCCAAGATCTCTCTCTTGATCTGTCTCTGCCAGTTCAGACCCCATCAACGTGTATTTATAGTTAGGATTTTTGGCTCCAATGTGCATCACCTTGCACTTGGCCACATTGAACCCCATTTGCCATGTTGACGCCCACTCGCCCAACTTTGACAGATCCCTTTGGAGTGCCTCACAATCCTCACTGGTTTTCACCACCCTGAACAACTTCGTATCATCCGCAAATTTAGCCACTTCACTGCTTACTCCCAACTCCAAATCATTAATGAACAAGTTAAAAAGCAGTGGACCAAGTACTGATCCCTGTGGTACCCCACTGCTTACACCCCTCCACTGGGAGAACTGCCCATTTATACTCACTCTCTGTTTTCTATTAATTAGCCAGTTTTTGATCCATAAAAGGACTTGTCCTTTTATCCCATGATTTTTGAGCTTGCTTAGGAGCCTTTGATGAGGAACTTTATCAAAAGCTTTCTGGAAGTCAAGGTAAACAATATCTATTGGATCCCCCTTGTCCACATGTTTGTTCACCCCCTCAAAGAACATTAACAGGTTAGTGAGACAAGATCTTCCCTTACAGAACCCATGTTGAGTCTGCCTCAATAGGTTTTGTTCATCTATGTGCCTACTAATTCTTTCCTTAATAATGGTTTCCACCAATTTACCCGGTATCGACGTCAGACTGACAGGCCTGTAATTTCCCGGATCTCCTCTGGAACCCTTTTTAAAGATGGGAGTGACATTAGCTACCTTCCAGTCCTCAGGAATGGAGGCTGATTTTAAGGAGAGATTACATATTTTTGTCAGGAGATCCACAAGTTCACAATTGAGTTCTTTCAGAACTCTTGGATGTATGCCATCTGGGCCTGGTGATTTATCAGTTTTTAAGTTGTTTATCAGTTTTAGGACCTCCTCTCTCGTCACCTCAATCTGACTCAGGTCTTTCAACACCCCTCCCGAACTCAGCGGCTCTGGAGTGGGCAAGCACCTCTCATCTTCCACAGTGAAGACGGAGGCAAAAAATGCATTTAGCTTCTCAGCCATTTCCCTATCATCCTTCAGTACTCCTTTTACCCCTTGGTCATCCAAGGGCCCCACTGCCTCCCTGGCTGGTTTCCTGTTTCTAATGTATTTGAAGAAAGTTTTATTGTTGGTCTTTACATTTTTTGCTATATGCTCCTCATATTCCCTTTTTGCATGCCTGACCACAGACTTGCATTTTATTTGCCATAGCCTGTGTTCTGTTTTATCAGCCTCACTGTGACTAGCTTTCCACCGCTTAAAGGAATCCTTTTTACCTTTTACAGCTTCCATTACTTTGTTTGTTAACCATGTAGGCTTTTTCTTATACCTGTTTGTGCCTTTCCTAACCTGCGGAATATATTTTATTTGAGCTTCTAGAATTGTAGTTTTAAACAGTTTCCAAGCTTCCCCAATGGTTTTGACCCTTTCTACTTTTCCCTTCAGTTTCCTCCCCACATGTCCCCTCATATCAGAAAAATTACCCCTTTTAAAGTTAAAAGTGGTTGTGTGAGTCTTTTTGGCCAATTCCCTATTTGTACAAATGTTGAACTCAACAACATTATGATCACTGTTCCCAAGCGGTGCAATCACTTTTACATCTCTCACCAGGTCTTGAGTGTTACTTAGGACCAAATCAAGGATCGCCTCTCCCCTGGTAGGTTCCATGACCATCTGCTCCATAGCACAGTCATTTAGAGTGTCTAGAAACTCAATCTCTTTCTCTCGACTAGAACACATATTGACCCAATCAATGTGTGGGTAGTTAAAATCACCTATTACGACACAGTGTTTTTGTCTAGCTGCTATCTTTAATTCATTCATCATTTTATAATCCTCCTCTATCTTTTGATCCGGTGGGCGATAACAAACTCCCAGTGTTAAGTTTCCTTTTGGCCCCCCTATTTCAACCCACAGAACTTCAAGAAGCGAATCCAATTCTCTTAGCCTCTCGATCTTTCTGGACTTTATACCCTCTCTGACATACAGAGCTACCCCACCTCCAACCCTTCCCCCCCTATCCTTCCGATATAATATATAACCGGGAATCACCGTATCCCACTGATTTTCCTCATCCCACCAAGTTTCTGAAATACCCACAATGTCTATTTTTCCCTCTGACACCAAGCACTCCAACTCCCCGATTTTACCTCGGACACTTCGAGCATTTGTATAGAAACAGCTGTAATTTCCCATACTGGTTAAGCCTGCCACCTTCCTCTTGCAATCTCGAGACCTTGTCAGGCAGTCCATGTCACTAGCCATGGTCTCAGTGGACAATTTCAATCCACCTCCCTGTAGAAAAGCAACCGGTACCCCCTCACCTCTCTCAGATGAGCCAACCCGAACCAGAGACTTTTCATCTCCTGTCGGCTTTCCCCCAATATTCAGTTTAAAAGCTGCTCTGCCACCTTTTTGATTTTAAGTGCCAGCAGCCTGGTTCCTTCTCGGGACAAGTGGAGACCGTCTCGCCTGTACAGCTCCCTCTTGTTCCAAAAAGTATCCCAGTGCCTAACAAACCTGAACCCTTCCCCTCTACACCATCGTCTCATCCACGCATTGAGACTCCTGATCTGTGCCTGTCTCTCCGGCCCTGCGCGTGGAACAGGTAGCACTTCTGAGAAGGCTACCTTGGAGGTCCTGGCCTTGAGTTTCCTGCCCAGCAGCCTAAATTTCTCCTCCAGGACCTCACGACTGCATTTCCCCACATCGTTGGTGCCGACATGCACCACGACCACTGGCTCCTCCCCAGCACTATCTACCAGCCTATCTAAAACACGCGTAATGTCCGCTACCTTCGCACCAGGCAGGCAAGTCACCATACGGTCAGTACGCGGGTTCGCCACCCAGCTGTCTACCTGCCTAAGGATCGAATCACCCACTACCAAGAGCCCCCCTCCCACCCTGCCCAGGGATGGTTCCTTGGTGCAAAAGGATAACCGCTCACCAGCTGGGGAAGAGGTCCCTTCTGAGGGCACATTCCCCTTATCCTCAGCACGGTGCCCTGTTTCCCCTAGACCCTCATGCTCCCTGACAGCAGCGGGGCTGCCAGATCCAGAGTGGGACGTAGCTAACAAGTCCCCGAGAGTCTTTTCTGTGTGCCTAGCTGACTGTCTCTGCTTCTCCAGGTCAGCCACCTTGGCCTCAAGGGAGCACACACGTTCCCTGAGAACCAGGAGCTCCTTGCACCGAGGACACACCCAAGACTTCTGCCCAGTGGGCAGATAGTCATACATGTGACACTCTGTGCAAAACACTGGATAGCCCCCAACCCCCTGCTGGCATTCTGGCTTCATAATTCTTTTAAAATAAGTAAATGTAATCCCCCTTTTAAATCCCTTTGTATTTATGTGTTTTTTTCTTGTCAAAGTCAAATTACTTTATGGGGAAAACAAGGAGCCTAGGGTGAACACTATAGTTTCTTTTTTAAAAAATGTAATGAGCAAGGATTTATCCAGATCTAAGAAATATGAAGTCCAACTGATGCTAGTTGGCCAATTAAGCATCTACTTACATCTTTTCCACAGGAAACAATAAATAT